CATAGGAAGTAACTGTAAAGACCATGGTTTGGATCAGGCACACCTTAGTCTCCATATAGACATTGTTACTCTTCAGTACTCTAGAGTTGTCCTTGACAGCAGATTTTCCAAACCCAATTTGTCTTTTGATTTCCTGGCTGCTGGTACCAAGAGTGTTGACTGTGGAGGCAAGTAAATGAACACTATTAACAATCTCAATCTTTTCACCATCCATCCTGATGCTGCTATTTGTCCCAGTGGTGAGAATCTTTGTTTTCTTGATGTTGCGCTTCAATCCATATTGAAGGCTGCAGTCATTGACCTTCTGCAGCAAGTGCTTCAGGTTTTCCTCAGTTTCAGCAAGCAAGGTTGTGTTATATGCATAAAGCAGGTTATTGTTGAGGTAGACATATAATAAATAAATGATAAATATCCGTAGAAGCGACTGGTTATCACTCTTTACAGATACTTAGCTCTATCCATTAGCTTATTTTCACAACAAACTAGAGAACATCAGTTCTTCAGTCAGCTGGAGAGCCTTTACTCAATGTAAATTCATGACCTGGAAAGTCTGAGTGTGTGAATCTGAACAGCACTGTCCTGTGAGTTTGTTGTAGTCAGTCGGCCTGAGTGAGATCAACTGGACATCTGTGAAATTTGTTTTTTTAAATATAAGATGTTACGGTTTGAACTGCCATCCTTTCAAAATGTATGCTGTAATTCCTAATCTCTGTACCTGTGGTTAGGAGAAACCAGTCCCTGGAGAACACCATGTTTGGGGAAGTAGAAGGTCAGAGACAATGAGCAAGACCTTCAAGGAGATGGATTTCCACAGTGTTGCAACCATGGGTTCAAACATAGCAATGGACGTGAGAAGACGGCTTAGGACTCAGTAGTAGTTCCTTCTATTGTAAATATTGTCACCACGTGTTGGAATTGACTCCATGGCACCTAACAACAACCTTCATGCCAAACACTGTTCTAAACACTTAATGTATATTGACTCTGCCTGTCTGAAAGAAGCCTACCAAATGATATTTTGACCCTCATTTGATAGATGAGGAAACTGAGGATCAAAAAATAAGGAACTTGTGTAAGATACCTAGTCAGTACATGACAAAGCTGGGATTTTCAAAATCCTAAAGGTCTGACTCTGTAGTCAAATGAATTTTACCAAGATGGTTTTTATGAGTGCTGCAAATACTATACATTAAAAAATTCTTAAGTAACTAAGTTGGGGATTCCCTTTGGCAGCAGCTCTGATGAAGTAGTACACTATGCTGTGGGCTAACTGAATGGTTGGTGGTTCAAATCCATCAGCTGCTCCTTTGGAGAAAGGTAGACAGTACCCTCTTGTAAAGATCTTTAACTTCAGAAACAGGAGATGGAGATGACTTCATGGCCGTGGGTTTGAGTTTAGGGTTTTGATTTTAGCAGTTCAAGAGAATAAAAGCAAAGACCTACATTTTGGGGGAGGGGAAGAGAGAAAGAAAATGTGTAACAATGAAAAAAATACTAAAAAAAAATAACAGCTCAATAAACCTTCAATATTCTTAGTAACATAAAAGACATACATTCTTCAGTCCACTGTGGCCCTTGACAACCTGGAGAGTCAAGTTGTTCATGACCCTGGTATCTGGTACAGATTGAATTGTGTCTAGGTAAAATGTGTGTTGTCAATCTAATCTCTAAGCCTGTGGTCAAGGACTATAGCTTTCAATATGGTTTATACCACAATATCAAGAAAACAAAAGTCTTCTTATTGGATCAATAAGCAAAAACTGAGACAAGACTGAACTTGTCAATTGTTTCATTCTACTCTGATCCACCATGAACACCCATAGTTGCAACAGTCAAGAAAGCAATGTATTGCACTAGGCAAATATGTAAGTAAAGACTTCATTAAAGTGCTAAAGAGCAAGGATGTCAGTTTAAAGACTAAGGTGCACCTGATCCAAGCCATATTCTTTTTAATTGCTTTCCATGCAAGCGACTCGACGGCACATAACAACAACAACATGCATCTGAATGTTACATAGAAAAGCTACATAAGGAAGACCAAAAAGAACCAATGTCTATAAATTGTGGCTATATTAAGGACTGCCAAGAGAATTAACAAACTTGTCTAGGAAGAAGTATAACCAGTTTGCTCTTTAGAAGCAAGGAGCTGCTTCTCATATACTTTGGGCGACCTGTTTGAGGGGCCAGTACCTGGAAGAAACAGCATTCTTGAAAAGGTGGAGGGTCATTTAGGATGAATAAAACCTTTATGAGAGATAGTAATGAAGTGATTGCCACAATGGGATTAAGCACAGGAGAGATTGTGAAGATGGCTCAGGACTGAATAAGATGTTGGACAAGATATTAATGGCTCAGGATTGAACAAGAAATAGTTTTGTTGTAAATTGGAGTCATTTGGGAGTAAACTAACTATAGTAACAGCAAGCTGGTGATTGTAACACCAAGCCACTGAGCAAAGGGCTCTCTTTGTTTTGTTAATAAGGAAATATTAGTAAGGGGGTGTCTTTTGCCAGCCTATTTTGAGAGAGAAAAAAGATTAAACAAGCAAGCCTATAAACTGATATTGAGGAAGACTTATGTCAAGGCACCTGAACCTCTTCAAGGAAACAGATAAACTGAAAAGTCAAAGACCTTCCTCAGAAGACCACAGTCAGGGTGAGCCTTCCTGCAGTTTGGAGTTTCCTCAAAAAGCTAAAAATAGAAATTGCATATGACCCAGCTATTCCACTGCTAGGAATATATCCCAAGGAAAACGGAACTGAGACACAAAGGGTGGTCTGGACACTGATGTTCATAGCAGTGTTATTCACAATAGCAAGAACATGGAAATAGCCCAAATGTTTGTCAACAAACGACTGGATTGAGACATTGTGGTACATTCACTTGATGGAATATTGTGCAGCACTCAAGAGCAATGATTTTGAAAAATATTACATAATATGGGAGAGGGTAGAGAACATTATGCTGAGTGAACTCAGCCTTACAAAGACAAATACTGTACAAGACCATTATTGTAAAAATAGAAGGATAGCTAGTAAAGATGTGGATAAAAGTGCAAAGTGGGTGTGGGCAGAGGGGTTCAGGGTGGGAAGTGGGGGAAATCATGAGGTCTCAGAGTTTGGTGGGTGGAGGGAAGGTCTGAAGGAATTAGGAAAGATCCTCTAGGGACCTAAAAAGATGGGGTAATAGTAGGCATAGATCGGTGGTGATTAATTTTAAAAAACACAATCTATGGGAATGATTGCATGAAACATAATGTGAATGATGGCATGTATGAAAAACAATGTATATGAATTTTGTATGCAAATAAATATCATTTTTTAAAAGGAGTGAACTTTCCTTAGAGTCAGCACCTTAAATTCAGACTTCTGGGGAGCTCTGGTGGCCTAGTGGCAAGAAGCTGTACTGTAATCCCAGAGGTACATGGTTCAAATCCACCAGATGCTCTGCCAGAGAAGGAAGGGAAAATTTCCCTCCTGTACCAGTCAGATTTGATTTGACGGTACACACACAATTAATAAATGAAAAATAAATAAATAAATACATAAATTTAAAAAAAATAAATTCAGACTTCTAAGCTTTCATACTATGAGAAAATAAATTTGTTTGTTCAAGACACCCACTGGTGCTATTTCTGTTATAGAAGCACAATGTAACAGCACAGGAATGGTGGACTTCTTGACTCACCCAGGATTCTGGATTGTTCCTTCCTAGGATGGCTTCTGACGCAGTTGTAAAGGCATTAACAGTAGGGTCCTCATTACTCACCAGGTGAATTTCTTTCAAACTATTGGTCATTTGCCTGTTCTGTAAGTAAACCACTATAGTCTCCACAATGATGCATGTACACAGATCCAGAGGAAACTGAAAGATCCCAGAACTGATGGCTGGAATTGCAAGCGACTTAATGTTCTGATATTTATAGACGTAATCTAGAATGTTTCTAATGGCCCTTTTCAACTGTTCAATACATTGCCCTTCATCTCTCTTTGTCCACTGAGGTCCAACCGCGTGGATGATGAGTTTGCAGGGAAGCCTGCCTGCTCCTGTGACAGCAATCTCACCAGTTGGTACTCTACCATATATGGTAACTAAGCTTGTGCTCTCCTCCTGGATTTCATAGCCACCAGCACTTACTAGGGCCCGGGCCAGGCCTCCCCCATGTTGAAGGACTTCATTCGCTGCATTTACAACAGCATCAACAGCATGTGTGGTGAGGTCATCCTTCCAGACCGATAGCTCTACACCAGGAGTCAGCATTTTTTTGAAGACTGGCTGAGAACTGGTGTCACTTCCCTGGAGTGGTGAAACTATGGTAAGGAAACAACCAAATTTCTTCCTGAAGACTTCACACAGCTGCTTCTCATGACTCTTAAATATTTTGAAGTCATTGTGATTAATCTGAGTTTCCCAACGACAGCTTTCATTAACAGGGTCAGTTTCTGGAAAAAGAATATACAAAGAAATGAGCAAGTAAAGGATGTAATTCCACTTTATACTAGACTGACATTCCTATTTGAAGAAGAAATTGACTTTCTGTAGGCCCCCTCGTGATTTTCCTTTCCATCCAGATATATAACTAGACCATAGATACCCACGACTTTTCAGTGTCCCAGTAAAGAGCTTAGTTTTGTTTCTGTTTATTCAACAACAGAGGTGAGAGACTTGTATATACAGGGAGATTTTGCATTTTTTTAAATTTTTTAAAAAATTAATTTAAACGAAAGTTTACAAAGACTTAGGGTTTCCAATCATTCATTGTTGCACTATTCTCCCTCCTTACCCCTCCCCTCCATTCACTCTTCTCCTTGAAAAGAAAACCTCTTTCATTGTTATGCAATCCCTCCCCCCAAGTCCACTCCTCTATGCAGCTTTCACTCTAGACTTATGTAATGACAAGAATACCCATTCATACGTCCCTTTTAAACATCTGTTTCAATGCAATATACATCGTTCCTCCCCTGCTTTTCAGTCTTCCCTCAACCCTAATGTCAGTTCCGTTTTACAGCAGTGGCACTACGCAATATTTGTCCTTTTGTGACTGAGATATTTCACTCAGCATAATGTCCTCCAGGTACAACCATTTTGCATAATATTTCATGAGTTGCTTGTTTTTCAATGTAGCATAGAATTACATTGTGTGAATATACCAAATCTTTTCTAGCCATTCATTTGTTGATGGGCATTTGGGTTGTTTCCAGCTCTTTGCTATTGCGAACAAAGCCACAATAAACATGGGTGTGCAGAGATTTTGCACTTTTAACAGTTGGCTTAGTTAGTGGTAAGAAATTGCACTGTGAACATAAAGATGCATAGTTCAAATCCACCAGCTGCTCCACAGGGCAAAAATGGGTAATCTTCTTGTATATGACTAATTGCTTCTGAAAAGCTGACCCTCTTGGGGGGTTAGCTAAAAGTTGGTCTCACTCAACAGTATACAACAACGTCATGTAAAAAAATGATAGAATGGGAAGATTCATGCTTAAGGCACAAGTATTGTAAAATATTTAATTATGAACTAAAAATACTGAGTCTTTATTAACAACTCTTTTATTATGCCTTGGGATTCTCCTAGAAGCAGATCACAGACAAGGGATTAAGTGAAGCAGTTCAATTGGAAAACCAGTTGCTGCTGTGTCAAAAAACATCAGATGGGGAGAAATCTGATGTGGAATGGGAGAGGGAGAGAGGAAAAGGAAATAAAGAGTGTGCTATCAATTATTAACAGAAAGGTTGGAGGTGATTACTAACAGAAAGGTTGAGCGTTTAAATCCACCTGATCTACTTCCAAAAATTCAGTCATTGACAATCTTTTGAAGCACAGCTCTATTCTGATACAGACTGAGTCAGAATTGGTATGTCAGAACTGACATGACAAACTGGTTTGACCAAGCAAAGCATAACTCCACTGAGGAACATGAGGAGTCACTGTGGATGATGTATCTCAGAGTTATACTGTAACAAGAGGAAAAAGGAGCTATTTATCCAGCTTCTACCAGGCACTCGCTGAAGGCTCCTCCTGGGGCACTGAACCAACAAAGCAGGGGAGTGCTGACAGTGACTGCGACTATGAGTAATGCTTCATAATACACTAGGTTAGTGGCAACGATTTTAAACTTATTTCCGGTGAGTTGGAATCGATTTACAGCTAATCCTCCAGCAGATTCTCTAAGGCAGTAAAATGCATGGGTGGAGATTGCTGGTCTTTATTCTCCTGGTACATCCAAAGCAGCAAAGAGGGGCAGACTTTGGATTAGGAGCATAACTCCCTACGGGTCTGCCACCAGAGCTCCGTGGCACAATTTCAGTAGAGTTAAAACTGACTGGCTAAAACAACTATGAGATATCATTTCACCCCAGTCAAAATAGCAAAATTTAACAGAACAGCAAGCAACAAATGCTGGCGAGGTTGTGGAGAA